TCGTGAACTTAATCTTCCACAAATTTTTATGATTTTTTTCAGTGTTCTGCAAAATTTTAAGTTTCTATGGTATTTGTTATGGAATGATTTTTTTTTTTATTTAAGAATTTTAAAAATTAAAAAATAAACACAAGTGGCAAACAATATCATTTTGAATTTGTTCCAAAATGATATGCCCTGTTTGTGTATATGTATAAATATGTATAATCAATGACTTTCTTATGTAATTCTTTTGAAAATGACATAACATTTCTTTATCTGTTTTTTTTAAGTAAAGTTTTCCTTTATGTGTTTACTTGTTTAAATAATGCTGCGATCTAGGTTTTAAATTACGTATACTTCATTAAATGTTCAAGGACTAATTTTTTTTATCTTTTATTCAAGGACTTATTTATGTAAGTTAACAAGAAGATGTAACTACATCACAAATTATGTTCGCTTAAGTACCCACTGAAAATCTTCAGCAAGGTAACAAATTTAGGGTTTATAATGCAATGGTGGGGAGGGTTTATGCAACTTTAAGAAATTTAAAAGTGTCTGGATCTTATACTCCACTGAGCAAATACCTCGCATAATTACTAATTTAAAATGGTTTTTGTATCTAAATCCCGTTAAACTAGTCACATGTTTCTTGCCAGATGGTAATAAAAAGTTTGTAACCGGTAAATAAAGTTCCTGCCAATTTTTAAACCCTTTTCGCATTCTCTCTACTCTCGTAACCGGTAAATTTTGTTACCATCTCATAAGTTGGTAACAAAGTATTGCCCCGTGAAATATGCAATGCCAGAATCTGCATAATTCTTCATAGCTGAATTGCTGAGTATTTTAACTGCATTACCAACGAACCTAGAATCGCGGTGACAAGAACTGGAAACATTTTTTGGTAATACAATTTTCCGGTTACAAAATCTTCGGTAACGTGCAGAATAGGGGTACGGTTTAGTACGTTGCCGATCTATTTCGAGGTATTGCGTCCAAAGCGGTGACCCGATCGAAAAAAAATTTGCACACACTTGTAGCCAAGGGTCTAAACATTATTTTTGGTCACTAATTTATTTACAAATTGGGTTAGAAATATGCCCTTTTTTGTAAAATTCGGAAATTATCGTAAACTTATCACTCCTATTCCCCTTAAAGCAGCTACTTATTAAATAAAAACACCTTCTAAATCATGCGTCCGACTTTGGTTGCATATGCAAATTAAATGGCGTAGTTCACCTGTCAAACTCCAAAATATGCAAAAGAATGAGAGACAAAAGAAAATAGGATATAACCCTGTAAGCATTAAAAATATACAAAGGTGTTCTCTGCAAAAGGTGTTCAGCTCCTTTTCTTCGCAAAACAGAAAGGAGAATTCTACTGCCTGAGGGTTATAATCCCTAAGTGCGGTCGAAGGCCGCCTACGCAGAAAGTTGTTCTCTGCAAAA